GGGTCGAATGTGATATTGTTTAATGTTCTACATGAACTCATGTACAATAATATATTTGTTAAGAAAAATATATGTTTAGGGAAAAGAATTGTTGATGCACCCGCAGATTGTGCAAGTTCTAAACCACTATACATGTTAAAGTTTTGATGTACAATAATAAATTTGTTAAGAAACGTATATGTTTAGGGGAAAAAATTCTTATATGAGATTTTACTTAATTTCTTTCTTCATTGTTTTGTTGATGCACCCACAGATTGTGCAAGTTCTAAACCACTATACACGTTAAAGTTTTGTTTTTTCTTTCTTGTGTTAGTGGACAAGATAATATTTGTTTTCTGTTACCAAATAATCAGAATAGAAAAAAAGGTTTAATCCTCCAAGTAAAACAGAATGGGTATAACAATAAAACACAAGTTGGGACTTGGCATAAAGAAATTCTATCGTTTTCAACTACTTTCTAAAAAAAATATAATTAGTAATCACACAGATAAGCAAGAACAGAATAAAATTAACTAAAAAAGGACCATAGGTTTAGGAAGGGGTTAGAGAAATTTTGCCCTTAAAAAAGACAGATTCAACATTTGTTTTCCTTTGGCTCTCTCTTTCACGAGAAAGTTCCATAGTCCAAAGCAACAACAAGGCCTCTCTTGAATCTCAAAACCCTAATTACATTTTGCTCTGCACGATTCTCTGAAATTCTTTGATTCTGGTGTTATTCTTTATTAATAATATATATCTTCAGCTCTAAGGCTTTGAATAAGTCTGTAAATATTCATATTTTATTTTGATTTTTTCAACAGAAACCCAAAAAAACAAAAAAAAATAGTTTACTTTTTGTTTGAAACAAAACATTATAAAGCCGGAGTCGCCGGCAAGGAATGACAGCCGGAGGCTGTTTTCCTATTCAAACAATGTTGTTTGGTCGTAAACCATCGAGCAAGTTACAGGTAAAATTTGTTCTTATTTTCTTGATTGATTTTGATTATTCATATATTTTGGTAATCTTTCATTTGATTCATAGAATAGTCTAACTTTCTTGTCCCTTGAGTTATGATTATTTGAAATATTTCCAATAAATCATACCAAAATTCTTCATTTTGTTCATCTATATCATTCTTGTTCATCATATATACGATCATAAAGTTTCTTATCATCTTGAAACATAAAAGAACTAACAATTTTTTTTTAATCACATTTACAAAATGCAAAAACTTGATACCAAATCTCTATCTC